GAATTGAACTTGGGACCCTTCAGTCCACAGGCCGACACTCTATGGACTGAGCCAAACCAGCTAGGGCTAACCTCATTTAAATGAGACCCAGTGACCATCAGTTCCCAATCTCTCAACCCCTCCTCATCCACCTGACTCTCCCGGGTCACTGCATCTTCTGGATGGCTCTGCTGGAAGTGACCACGTCCCGCCTGGCTGCTGGCTCACCTGGCACAGAGCAGGCCTCTGCCTAGGATGACTCCCTGGGCACGGAGTGGGAGCTCCTGAGCGGGAGGGGCAGAGCGCCCTGGGAAACACATCTTTGTGTTTGGGGGCTGTCTCCTCAGCAGTTGGGCCCTGTGCTGGGGGGCTGTCTCAGACCCCTCCCTGGCCTCAGCCCCCAGGGAGCCTGCTCCCTGCAGAACACGCATGTGACGAGCCCCTTGCCCTCCGTGCCCCTTGTCCACTCACGGCAGACCCTTTCACACCTCAATTAGCCACTTAGGGAGAAGAAAGAGCAAGTGCAAGCTGGGGAAATCTGTTCAGACCATGATGAATAGTTTCCCAAGCCTGCTGTTGCCATGGCAGCCAGCTGGGAACACCGTTTCCAGGGCCTGAGGCGCTCAGACATGCACGGGGTGGGGGAGGGGGAGGGGGGCTGCCCTGCTGGGCTGCTGCCCACTCGCCTTCCCCCACCCTGGCCTCCTGGCTCCCTTAGCAACAGCCATCACCATTGCCATCGCAACCACCGTGCGGCGTCTGCTGTCCAGGATCAGTGTCCAAGGAAACTTTGGGAGGGGGAAGGTAGGGAGCGTGTGTGTGTGTGTGTGTGTGTGTGTGTGTGTGTATGTATGTATGTGTGTGTGTGTCAGAGTCAGGCTATGAAGTTGGGAAGGAAAAAGCTTGGAAAGCTTAGCCATAGAAAAGCAGCTCATCAACCAGAGGTCCAGTGACCCCTTGGTGATCCGATGGTCACCTTTGAACCCACAAGACCAAGCTTGTGTATCTGGGTGCATGTGAGTTTTTCTGGAGGAAGGGTTTATAGTTTGATCAATTTCTCAAAGATGAGGAAGTCCCTATTAGGTAAGAATCTTAAATGACAAAAGCTTTTGCTTTTTAGAATCAGAATTACCTTAGGGACCAGTTGATCAGACTGGCTGCAGAGATATGCTTAGAAGGAAGAACAAGCCCCCGGCCGGTGTGGCTCAGTGGTGGAGTGTTGATCTATGAACCAGGAGGTCACTGTTTGAGTCCCAGGCAGGGCACATGCCCAGGTTGGGGGCTTGATCCCCAGGGCGGGGGGGTGTGCAGGAGGCAGCCGATCAATGATTCTCTCTCATCATGGATGTTTCTCTCTCTCTCTCCCTTCCTCTCTGAAGTCAATAAAAATATATTTAAAAAATAAAGAAGGAACACGTACAGGGCAGGGTGGGAGCATATGCATGCCCCCCTGGTCCCTCTCCGGAGTCCCCCAAGGCCACCTGCCCCGCTGGGGACCTCTGGGAGCAGTGACTGGGAGTATTCCTGCGAATGCCATCCTAAATACTCTTTCCTTCTTGCCTGCCTCGTTGCTGCAGCTTCACCCGGGGTTAACTGTGCGAATCGCTAGGGTGTGCTGTGTGCCAGGCCCGAGCTCAGGGCTGTACAGACACTGTGCACATCGTCTCATTTAGGTGTCACTCAGCGTTGGGGGGAAGGGCCTCTTACCCCGGCCATTCAAAGATGAGAAACCCCAAAAGATTGCAAGTGATTCGCACAGGTTTATGGAGTTAGAATTTGGACAAGCGAGGGGCAGCTTAGCAGAGGTTCTGGACAAGAGTGCCTGAATCTGACCTCAGCTGCACCCCTCTTCCCTGTGTGGCCCAAGCTCTTGTGAATCGAGGACACGGATCATCCCTACCCCAAAGGACAGTGACGGGAGCTCAAAGAGTTGACGCTGCATTTGAAAAGGGCTTAGAACAGTATCCATCACCAGATCAAATGGACTTAAACGGGGAGTAGGATGTGGTCCCAGGTCTGCCTGGTTCTAAGGCTCGTGTGTCCCCCAGAGAGGTTTTCAGGGGCGTTTGTCATCCGAATGCTGAGCTGGGTCGTGACCCCAGGAACACCACGAGCTCTAGACAGAGCTGCCGCCCCTGAGGGAGCCTCAGTGTCCCCGCCCCCCAAGCAAAGGGGCAATAATACCCCGCACATTCTCAGGGGCTGGTTTGTGAGCCAGAGTCCCCACCGATGACACGAGGATCCAGTGAAACACGACCCGGGAAGCTTTTGCAGGCGGAGCCGTGCCACAGCCTGTCCTCAGTCCCGCAGCCCAGTTCTCCTCATGCCGGCTCAGCTGGCAGTGCGGGGCAGGGTGCCCAGTGTGACACCCCGAGGCGGGTGGATGGCACGGTGCCTTCCGTGCCCATGTGCCTGGGTCAGCAGCCAAAGCCAGGATGCTTAGGAATTCCGCAGAGGGAGCAGAGAGGCGCCGAGCCCAGCTGCCTCGGGCTGTGTTGGCAGCGGGGAAGGGAGGCAGGTGCTCCTGCGAGGCCACGGATGGCAATGAGGGCCGGGTAGGGCGGGGTGGAGCCACGGAGCGTGGTCCAGGCCACGCCAGGCTGGGTGGCCTCCTTGTCTGAGAGGAGGGGTCATTCGTGGAAATGAGAAAAAGCTTTCCTAGTCCCTGCGGAGAAGAAACGCAGTGAGGCATTATTCAATCAGCGAACAGCAGGCTCAGTCATCTCCAGGCTGCTGGGGCGGGGAGGGACCTGGGGTCCCTGTACTTTTGCCCCCCGAAGGCTCCTCGTGCTGAGAGCAGACGGTGAGGAGGAAGAGGTGGGCCCTTGTTCTTGAGTCACTGGCTGCTGGGGTACCTTTCTGGGGCGCTGGGAGGTGTAGCACGCAGCTGCAGCTGGGACAGATCAGCAGCCGACGCAGGGGGGCAAGGCGGTGCTGTGAGTGACTTGCGCCCGTCAGAAGCCATAATCAGAAGCCATAATCGGAGGTGGTTCGTCTGGGAGGAGAAAGCCAGGGAGCCATCGCTGACTCAGGGCTGAGGTGGCTCATGCCAGCTGCTGTCCTGGCCTCCCGGTGCCCCACGCGCAGCCCAGCCCGAGGGGGCGCTGGTTGCAAAGGGAGTGATTCAGAGGCTGTGACAAAAGCAGCGATTTAGACGGAGGAGCTTCTGAGAGTGTGAATCAAAGCTTTGTGCTTGAACCTTTTAGCTTCTCGTGGTCATGACGAGCCGGGGGTGGGGGTGGTCTTCTCTGAGAAGTAGGGCAGGAGCTGGTGCCCAGGGCCCCGGACAGGCAAGGCGGTGCCACGCCCACGGCAGAAGTGGGCCCCGGGGACGTCTCCGCTGTGAGATGCTAAGCCAAGGATGTCTAGAGGCCACAGTGTCATTTCTTTACCCTCTAGAGCAGCGGTTGCCAACCTTTCGGACCTCACGGGCCACCAGAGGTCCACGGGCCACCGGTTGGCGACCGCTGCTCTAGAGCACAGCTCCCCAGGTGCCCAGAGCTCCTGTGAGGACCCAGAGAGGAGGGTCGCCCACTCAGGGAGTTAGGCCTCTCCCAGGGCTCACCCGAGATGCCTGCTCTCCATTCGGCTTGCCTGGCACTGACCCGGACTGCCTGACTGTTCTAGGGACTCCTGTCACGAGCCGGCCTGCCCAGCAGGTGCAAACACTTTATGCAGAGCTTTCCCCCCACTCCCCAGTGTTTACCGTGAAACCGGGAAGGGGAAAGGCCATTGTTGTCAGGAGTGTCCCTTGGCAGGTCTGGGCTTCAGGCCTGCCTGAATTGGATGCAAACTGTTAGCCAGAGAGCTCTGAGAGCCAGGATGATTCAACCATCAGAGTGAGCAGCCAAATGACCAAGATACTTACCCCTGGAGATCATTAGAAATAAACCCCGATTCTTACACCAACCTGGAGGTCCGCCCCTCTCAGTGGGAGAGGCCTGATGGCGTGAGTCAGCTTCCTCTGCTCCCAGGAACCTGTGGGTCTCCCAAAGTCCTGCTGCTGCAGCCTTCGTCAGCTGCTGGAGAGCAACGCGGCTCTCGGCGAAGCTCCCTCCCTCTCACCCTTCATGGGCGGCAGCCCTCGCCATTTAATGCCGGGATAACAACAATCCGCATAGAGATCGAGCTGCTAATGGGAGAAGAGCGAAGCCAAAAGGGTGACACTGTTCCAGAGCCGAGTGGGCCTCTCTTCGGGAGAAGGTAGCTGCTCAGGGGAGGGGTTCATCAGCCGCCTCTGAGTTTTTATTTTTCATTTATTTTTATTTCTTTAAAATACATTTTTTTATTGATTTCACAAAGGAAGGGAGAGGGAGAGAGGGATAGAAACATCAATGATGAGAATCATTGACCGGCTGCCTCCTGCACGCCCCCTACTGGGGATCAAGCCTGCAATCTGGGCATGTGCTCTTGACCGGAATCGAACCCAGGACCCTTCAGTCCGCAGGCCGACGCTCTATCCACTGAGCCAAACAGGCTCGGGCCACTTTGAGTTTTAATAGGAGGCTGACTACCATCCACCTCCCCCTCTTCCCCCAACACACACAGGAGCAGCAAGTAAGGGGGAGGGAAGACCTAAACTGGGCCCTGGCTGCAGGCCTTGTTCTCTGTTTTCTCCTCCATCTGTTAGTCGGCAAGCGACCATTCCAAAGCTGTCCTCTTTCTGCAGTTCATCCTCTATTTGGGTTTTGGATCTTGGTCCTCCTCAAAGCCACCTACGTTGAATTTCTGCCCCAACCAGATCTCTGCGGAGTCTTGCCGCTATAAGGCATTTCAGATGCACTATCAGTCCCCAGGTGCGGAGACCAGGGCAAAGGAGTGGGGCGCTGGATCGTTCTCAGGACGGGGAGCTTGAGGGCAGACAACCCTGGAAGCATGCATTTAGAATATATGTTTGGGATTCCAGACTAGGGAGCTGACACCTGGTGAGATGAAATGGTTTGCCAAAGATCTGGCTCCTTTGTAGAAGAGAAGACTAAAACTCAGGTCATCGAACTCTGGCCCTCTGGTTGCTCTCTTAGCAGGGAGCTCTGCTGATGGGATGGATGACTGCACAGCTCTGCTGGTTGCCCTGCAGCCCTGCTAAGCACTGTTACCTCAAACTCTCTGCAGACATCCTGTGCTGGAACCAAAGGTCAGTGGGGGTGATGCTTGGGTGGAGCAATGGAGGGTGACTGGGCTAAGAAGGCCCTAGCCGGTTTGGCTCAGTGGATAGAGCATCGGCCTGTGGACTGAAGGGTCCTGGGTTCGATTCCGGTCAAGGGCACATGTCCAGGTTGTGGGCTCGATCCCCAATAGGGGGCATGCAGGAGGCAGCCGATCAGTGATTCTCTCTCATCACTGATGTTTCTATCTCTCTCTCCCTCTTCCTTTCTCTCTGAAATCAATAAAAAAAATATTTTAAAAAACATTCATGGAAACCAAACAAAAACAATGAAGGTTCATGCACACGAAGACCTCCTCCTGGGAAGTCAGGTTAAGAGTTTGTTGAAGATGGTGGTGAGGAACCTGCCCTTCCCTGCTGGATAGAGTGGGCTGGAGGGGCAAAGAGCGGCTCAGTCCCCTTTGTGTGGTCAAAATTCCCTCCGCCCATGAACAAGAGGACATTGGGCTGCCCATACATCACAGTTGACTGAGATGTCAGTGGGAGCTCTTCCTGTCACGATGTTTCACTCTAGCGCCTTCATTTCTATTCTTATACCAAGTGATTTGTTCCCAAAACATCAGCCAAACAGCAAAAGAGTCACTGGCTCCATAGGTCTCTTCCTCTTCCCCCGCCTCTCCCCGTCCCCTGCAAGCTGGCTCCCCACTCAGAGTGCCGGCCTCGTGGATCTTGCGGAGGCCCACGCTCTGTGGGAAGAGTGGCAGGAGGGTTAGGGAGAGGGGAACTCCAGATCTCATCTTGAGTCTGCCCAGAATCCTTGGCCTTTATGGTTCTGACCAAGCAGAAGTTTGGTTTAATTTCTGCTTTAATTTATTTAAAACTTGGGTCAATGTCCTTCTCTACTTAGTGCCGTCGTTTCTTCACCTCTGAAACGGGGAGAAATGTCTCTCTCTCTTTTTTTTAATGTAAATCAAATTTTATTTATTTTTTTCCTTGCAAGAAACATTAATATTTCAAGAAAAACGGTTTTAAATATAATAATATTACATGCAATGAACAGTAATATTTCAAGAACAAATATTTAAAAAAATATTTTATTGATTTTTTTACAGAGAGGAAGGGAGAGGGATAGAGAGTTAGAAACATCGATGAGAGAGAAACATCGATCAGCTGCCTCTTGCACACCTCCTACTGGGGATGTGCCTGCAACTAAGGTACATGCCCTTGACCTGAATCGAACCCGGGACCTTTCAGTCTGCAGGCCGACGCTCTATCCACTGAGCCAAACTGGTTAGGGCAAGAAAAAATATTTTAAATAGAATAATATTACCCAAACGGTACTAACATAGTATAATGAGAAAAGTCTTGACGGTTTCCCTTTACTTGGGATGCTGACTTGGGTTCTGGCCAGATGATTGGTGAGATTGAAACCACGCCCTTTCTTCTCTGTTTGCTAGAGTTCCCGCCTGAAGAAGATGAGCACAGCTATGAGCGGTCCCCTTCTCCCACAAGGGCATCATTGCTCCCCAAACCAGGAGGCCAGCCAGAATCATGCTTTCATGGAAGGCCTGAGGACTACCTGCTAAAGCTTCGAAAACTAAAAACAGTGAGTTTTTTTTTTTTTAATCCTCCCAATAATTCACTTTGCTTGGCTTCTCTAACGGAAACCGGTACTGGTTAAATAAAGTCAAGAGGAGCCTGAGTCAGGTGTGGGATGGGATGGGCAGAGACTGTGACCAAGGCATTTTGGGTAATCACTTCCTCCTGGGAATCCAGGCGTACAGTTGCTTGTACAGTTCCATTCATTTGTTGCTTGGCATACGCTATCTTATATTTTAGGGATCAAAGGATGCCCTAGCCGGTTTGGCTCAGTGGGTAGAGCGTCGGCCTGTGGACCAAAGGGTCCCGGGTTTGATTCCAACCTTGGTTGCAGGCTCCTCCCTGGCCCAGGCCCTGGTTGGGGTTCTTGCAGGAGGCAACCAATCAATGTGTTTCTCTCACATCGATATTTCCCTCTGTCTTTCCCTCTCTCTTCCACTCTCTATGAAAAGCAATGGAAAAAATATCCTCGGGTGAAGATTAAAAAAAAATAAAAGGATAGATAGCTCATCTATATTTTAAGAGAAAGAGTAGAACAGGGCTTCTCAAACTACGGCCCGCGGGCCACATGCAAATACAAATATTGTATTTGTTCCGTTTTGTTTCTTTTTTACTTCAAAATAAGATACGTGCAGTGCGCATAGGAATTTGTTCATAGTTTTTTTTGTTTAAACTATAGTCCGGCCCTCCAACGGTCTGAGGGACAGTGAACTGGCCCCCTGTTTAAAAAGTTTGAGGACCCCTGGCCTACATCTTCCCCCGCCCGTTTCTCTCTTTGCAACCTGCCCCGGGCCACACAGTGAGGGGTGGCGGAGCTCGGGTTCGAACACCATCGGGTTCAAGTCTTCTCGCCTTTCCCCACATTGTGATTCCTCCGGCTGCACGAACAAAGGCAGCGATTGCCCGGCAGCCCTGTGAACCCTGAGACTCAGCTTCGGAGGAGAAGGTGATGGCTCCTGGTGCCCGGGAAGTAAGAGGCCGAGGCTGCATGCCTCTCCGGCCTTGTGACGCCGGGCAGGCATCAGCATTCACTTCGGGTGGCCTCCATACCCTCAGCCTCCCTGAGTGCAGCGGTGCTGAGAATGTGCACACATATGCCAACCCTGTGCAGACATCCTAAGATGAGGCAGGCAGGCTCTCGGGCCCTAGAGCAGGACGGGCACAGCCAGGCTCCCCCTGCCCCAGGGGAGACGACACAGGCTCACTGTGGGCCTGTGTTGGCAATGAGGCCTCCAGAATGACCTCCGGGGGAGGCTGGTGCCTGTGTTGAGGGTGGGGAATGTAGTGGGATTAAAGGGTGTTTTCTTTTCTCTCGCCACAGGGAACCCCCTGCAAAGCGATGAGATGGTAGTGAGCACCGTTTGGTTCCCTTTCCACCAACTGTCTATTGTGACACTACGGAGCTAACTAGCAGAGCTGCTGAAATCACGGTTAAGGGAAAGGAACATTAAGACACATAAGCGAGGGAAGAGATGTGTGTGAAGTAAGGGAGGGAACAGAACAGCAAGCAATAAGACAGACGGAAGCAAGACATCCGTTCCGGGTGGCAAGAGGCAGGGCAGTCATTTGCGTGGCAACTAAGACCCAGAGGTCAGGGCCGCGCTCCACAGAGGGGGCAGTGGGCACAGCCTGTGATGACATGGAGCTTCTCTCACCTCCATGGGCTCCATCTCATTGCCACCCTAGGAGGAGAGGCTGACATTGGACTTGAGGGGCTAAACATGTGGCTGACAAGCTTGGAAGTTCTGATTCTTTTAAATATTTTTATTATTGATCTCAGAGAAGAAGGGAGAGGGAAAGATAGAAACATTGATGATGAGGAGAGAATCATGAATTGGCTGCCTCCTGCATAGCTCCTTCTGGGGATCGAGCCCACAACCCAGACATGTGCCCTGACCAAGAATCGAACTGGTGACCTCCCGGTTCCTAGGTCAACGCTCAACCCCTGAGCCACACCGGCCTGGCTGGCCTACTAGGTAGTCTTCTCTTGTTGAAGTTAATGAATCCAAACTTCTAAGCTCGCAAGCCACAGGCTTAGCTCCTAAAGTCAAATGAAGGTTAGTCCCTTGGAAAAACGGACTCTTTGCCTAATGACAAGAAAGTAATAACTTTAAAAGCTTTCTCTTTTATGTTATGCCAAAGTTTAGGTTAATTGATTAGGCCAGATCCAGCCTGGGCTCCTGGCCCCCAAAGACGTCAGAACAAAACTGGGACAGAGAGCAAGACAGGAGCCTTCATCTCATGGGGGATGTGGAATAAAGAAGCAGTGGGCAGGTTTTGGGAGAGCGCCCCAATTTTGTACTATGGAGCTCTCAATATGTGCCCATCAGCATCCTGAAAAGCATTGGAGAAACTGCCAAGAAGCCAAGCTAAAAATACCCAGGGAACAGCACCACCCCGGAGACGTGCAGAGATGGGTGTGAGCGCTCCGTGGAAGGTGTGAGACTCTGAGCACGAGAGCCAGGCTGCTGTGCTCATCCCAGGCTCTTGTTCTCGGGCCCTGAACCATGTGTCAGTCGGATATGGGTGGGAGGAGTGCGTGCATCTGCTTTTACACTCAATGCTTTGTCTTTGAACCAGTCCCGTCTAATAGGGCAGCAAGTGTGTAATGAGCACCTGTCATGTGCCCTAGGATTAAAACTATAAAACCACACCCACTACTTGGGAAAGTGTGCATGAATTTTTGAGACCTGATGACTCCCCATCTCCCGTAGTAACAATTATCACTTGTGTTTTGTTTTTTTAAAAAAATATTTTTATTGACTTCAGAGAGGAAGGGAGAGGGAGAGAAACATCAATAATGAGAGAGAATCGTTGATCGGCTGCCTCCTGCACGCCCCACACTGGGAATCAAGCTTGCAATCCAGACCTGTGTCCTGACCGGGAGTGGAACCGTGACCTCCTGGTTCCCAGGTCAACGCTCAACCACTGAGCCATGCCAGATGGGCTATGACTTGGATTTTAATGGCTTCCCACTTCTCTGTCTACCCTACTTTCAGGATCTTACTTCTTGTAACACCTAAGCATGTGTCTCTGACAAATATTTTCTCTGGTCTCCTTTTTCAGTTATCAACTGTCTGTTTCTATTATTGGAAATATGTTACCATTGGCTCATTCCCTCCTTTTCCTCCAGAGCTTCCATCCGCAGTTTCGGCAGGAGGGTCCTACTTCCTTAAACCTTGTTTCTAAATGTCATAAGCCTTCCCTCAAGTCCCCCTCAGGAGAAAGCAAAGAATGAGGTAGAAGAGAAATGGTGAGTCATGCTTTCTTCCTGAGGGCACACCCAAGATTAGGGTCTCAATGTTGATGAAAAACATTCAAAATCACACACTGTTCATACTTTTTAATCTTTATTATTGAAAGTATATGTCCCCTCTTTCCCACCCATTGACTCCCTCCACCCCTGCCCGCTGCCCCCTGCCCCTTGCCCCAGGCCTTCACCACACTGGTCTGTGTGCATGGGTTGTGCATATATGCATACAAGCCCTTTGGTTGATCTCTTCCCACCCACCCACTCCTTTTAATTTTAACGACTCTGATACGTGTCTAGTGGTGTCTCTTTGTGGTTTTTAATTTCCATTTCCTTGATCACTACCGAAGCTCAGGTATACGTATATATAATGGGCAAAGGTAAGTTTATAGTCGCATACGTTTATTCTTGTATTATTTTCGATATGAACAACTGTACACCTACTTTTGCCCCACCTTGTGTGTGTGTTTTGTTTTAAATCCTCACTAGAGGACATGTTCATTGACTTAGAGAGAGGGAAAGCGGGAGCGGGGGGTGGGGCAAGGAGAGATGTGAGAGAGAACATTGATTGGTTGCCTTCCGTATGTGCTCGGGGATCGAACCCACAACCTAGGTATGTGCCCTGACTGGGAATCAAACTCTCCAACGAACTGTGCCACACCAGCCAGGGTCCCCCCGCCCCCCCCCCCGTGTTTAATGGCATTTAGATAGTCTCTTCTGTGAATTGCCTGTTTAGGTTTATTGTTCATATTTTTTGGGGGGAGGGGTGTCTGACTTTTAAAATATTGCTTAAATACATACTTTCTAATATATAATTTTCTTAGACTGTGTGTGCATATGTATATGTATCTCTATCTCTGTCTCTCTATCGATCTATACATATGCAAGCCCTTTGTCAGGGTAGGGGTACCATTGCTAGACCATTAGGTAAGGGATTAGGGACTCAGATATCTTTCATCTCTCCACTAAGGGGAAAATATGCATCTCCCTCTCTTTGGGGACTTGATGCTGGAAGAAACACAGAGCAAAGAGTGGAGCACAGAGGGCTCTAAAGCAGGTAACATTGGACCCAGGTGTGATCCACTGTGTGCCAGGCAACAGAGCAGAGCCTGGCACCCCAGCGCGCTCCGGAAGTGGGATGGCCGTATCCGTCTGAGCTGTAGAGGTTGCACAGAAGGGCAGGGACCCAGAGGTGTGAGCCTCAGGCGAGTGTACCAGGACGGCAGGCACCAGGGCAGGAGCAGAGGAGCTGGGGACGGCCTTGGCGTCTCCAGGCAACTAGAAAGCTCTGTCCCTGGGTGACCACTGCTGCGCTAGGTGAACAGTCTTCCTGCTGGGCCAGGGTTTAGGGAGATGCTGGCCCCTCTGCCCCCTGCATTTGCATTTCAACTCACCCTTTGGCAGGTCAGCTATTTGTGTAATATGTCTGGGGCCAGGCCTACTGTGCTGCATCCTGGCAGAGGCGTGGACGCCGCCCTTGGCCCTGAAGGGTGTGGAAGCCTGTTGAGCAGCTCTCCCCCAGGAGGGCTGAGCTCAGGCATCTCTGCAGGTTTCTTTTGTCAAACCCCATCCTTTTCATGGGGGACAGGGTCCCAGCTGCCCTGGCATCTCCTGGTTAGCTGTCCTGCCTGTGTTCCCCTGAGGACAGACACCAGGTGGTTCTGAGCAGATCGGCCCGATTTCCTTACTCACCAGGGTACCCAGCGTCAGCACAGCCCGCCCACCTCTGAGATCATGTCTTAGATCCATAGAGTCAGGGTCCCCAGGGACCACCCCAGCTCTCTGCTGTCAGCCCGGAAGGGGCCACGCACTGACGGGCAGTTTTCCCTCTCCTTCCTTTCATGTGGGATCTTGCGGGCTGGACGGGGAAGGGAGAGAAGAGAAATGAGGTAGAAATGCTTACTTGCTTGTCAGCTTCTCCAGGGGCAGCCAAGACATAATCATCTGTGTTCACAGGGTAGAGTAAACCCCAAATATGGCCTCACCACGGGGTGGAGACCATAGGGTACCACCCAGCCCTGGCAGCGTGGGCAGGGCCCTGTGACAGACTCCCAGGCCCGGGCCTCCAGGCCAGGAGGCACGCCCTCCAGGACATGCCCCAGGCAAGGCCACGGAGGACACCACACTGATCTGCTCAGCGGGGAAAATGGGAGCCTTGGAGGAAAACAACTTTCAACGTAATTTATTGCAATTTCTTCTTGTTGTTTTTTTAATTGATTTGAGATCGAGGAAGGGAGAGAGAAACATCAATGTGAGAGAGAAACATCAATCGGCTGCCTTCCGCATGAATCCTGACCCGGGATCGAACCCATAGCCCCGGTATGTGCCCTGATCGGGAATGGAACCGCCTCCTTTTGGTGTGCAGGATGATGCTCCAACCAACTGAGCCACACCAGCCCGGGCAATTTATTGGCATTTCTTAATTTCAATCTCCATTGCCTATATAGTGGGGCCTTGACTTACGAGTTTAATTCATTCCGTGATGGAGCTCGTAACTCAAATTACTCGTATGTCAAATCAAAAAGTGAATGAGTGAGACACGTGATGCTGGGCTGATGTTGTGGCATTCACTGTGACGTTCGCTGCGCCAACTAGTGGTGGGGTATCTGAAGCTGGCTCATAACCCGAATTTTAGCTCGCAACTCAAAGCAAAAAATCAGCTGAGGGACGGCTCATATCTCAAAAAACTCGTTAGTCGGGACACTCGTAAGTCAAGGCCCCACTGTATTCCTAAAAGGGGAAAGGGGGCAATTCCAGCCAGACCCAGTTTTAGGGTCTGAGTCGAAGGCCCCATGGAGGCTGATGGCCAGGTAAATCTTCCTGACCAGAGGTCTTTAGAAATGCTTCTTTTGGGGGAATGTTCTAGAATCACCGAGGACAGAACAGTGTGGGACCTGGAATGGGGCACAAAGGAAGGAAGACCAGCATCCCAGCCTAGGGCCTGGCTAGAGGCAACCGTTGAACTGTTTCCTTCGACGATAAGAAAACCACCGGCTGCGCGTCCAGGAGGATGGCCCACGTCCATCCACAGACCCTCCCGCCTGCCCTCTATGTCCCAGTGTCGCCAGAGAATCAGACCTCCCCATGGCTCGTGGGAGCGAGTTTCTCGGGCTGCTGCTGAAATGAGCACGTTCCGAAGCCCCCACGGGAGAACGAGACGGGGTAAAGGGCTTTATTGGCGTGGAGTTACCTCCCCTGGGGTCCCAAGTCCCAGGCCCCGTAAGCCAGTCCTG